TCCTATCAAAAGCTATACAAAGAAAAGAGGATGAATCCTTTCTTTTCTCTTCTCTTCATTTCCTTCAAATTCGATCAATCCAAACAATGTGTTAGGGCCTGTTCTGATTGACTGAACTCAGTTGAACTGAACTGAACTGAAATGTATATTTTATAAGAGAAGGAAATTAGGAGCTGAACTGAACTGAACTGAACTGAACTGAGTTGAGCAGAACTGATTTGAATTTCAACGTATGAGGACAGGCCCTTAGTGACTCAATGGGAGAAAGACTTTAAACTAATTACGAAAGTCACATTTAATTGACCCGACCTAAGTTAGTGATAGATTTTGATATTGACCTGACCTAACTTGAGAAATTAGTGACTCGAAAATTGCAACCATCTCCACCAATATATTAAAAAAAAAAAAAGTTGACATTCGATTCGAGCTAATCCAAGAGTTCAAGAATTGAACCTAAATTGCACCTAGAAAAAACAAGTTTTGACTCTAACATGACCCGCAAATTAATTACCAACATGAAATGAACTTGCACCCTACTCATGGAAGTTTATGACTCATTACTAAATCAACCCCAACTTGCTATTAAATTGGCCTGATATTATTGACCCAAATCAAATTCAACTTGATTTATTTAACTTTTGGAGAATAAAGTAGTTTATGGCCCGGGTGATGCTCCAAGTGTTGTATTATTAAAAAAAATATATCATTTTTTATATTTACAAATATTATTAAGCATTAAAATTCATTGTTCAACATGCAATAACCTAAATTTTACATAAGTTTAACTTAATTGTTAAAAGGATTATATTTATTCTTCAATTGTCATAAAAAATCCCTTGATTAAAAAAAATAATAAAAAAATCAAAACCTTTAAAATTGCTATGCATTTTTAGGTAACAATAGTTTAATACCTATAACTTATATACTCGTATATGAATTCTTAATGAGTAATGAAAGAAATGAGATTATTTTTTAATCATATTGTTGTTAAAATACATATAATTTAAGTTAATAATTAAAATTTTAGAATTTATGAACACAAAAAACTTTTTTTGATATGATTTATTGTCATAAATTGTGTAATGGAGTTAGGGTTGTTCAAAGTGCGGTTTAGACCGCATCAAATCGCAATTTTGCGATTTAATGCCCTTTGAAAATTGTGTTTTCGATTTGGTGCGGTTTCTAAAAAAAATTTAGAGCAAAATGCGCGGTTTAGACCGTCAAACCGAAAACCATTAAACTACTATTATACTATTTTTGTATTTAAAATATGATGTAATTTTTGACTAATAGCTAAGTAAAAGTTAAAAAAAGAGTTTAACATTTGAATTATAAGAATTATAAGTTGATAATTACAAAATAATTTTTTTTTTAAACATATATATATATATATATATATATATATATATAATTTTAAAAAAATGTGGCTAAATCGCAAATTACATCGAACCAAACCGCATTTTGCGGTGCAGTTTGGTTTGAAAAAAAATGCAAATTGCACAACGAACACCCCTAATTAGAGTGGTGGTGAAAGTTTAACTTTAGTGAATGTGAGGTCAATAATTATGAGGAAACATTGGTGATTGATAGTAGCATGACATGACGCCGCATAAGCAACGACGACACATGGCGGAATTGCATGCCTTGCCATTAAATTTTTCTCCCTCCGTTTTTAAATACTTGTTCCATTTCTCTTAGACACACATGCCGATACTAATTTTTGATCACTAATATATTTAATTATCAATAAGTATAAATTCTAACAATTGAAAATTAATAGTCTATTCATTGAGATGATTCCAACAAGTACCAACAAGATTATATTTTTTCTTATGTATAAATCACAAACATTAGCCAAAGTAGGACAAATAAATAGTGTCAAAAATAAAAATGAAGTATTTAAAAACGGAGGGAGTAATAAAATATATGGACATAGATAGATAGATATTGCTTCTTAATTACTCCGTACATTCAAATGTTTGTGTATAATAAAACCTCTTAAATCTATGTATATGAAACTTTATAAAATCCTACAGAATACTTGCATGTAATAAAATACTAGCTAATGCAAATTTAATCTGTCTTGATCTTATATTTTACTAAATGGAAGAAGTGGTCATAACCTATATAATACATAAAACTCATTGAGATATTCTGATCAGTAGTGTTCTTATTAAGATATAAATATAGTATCATTTGATCATGAGACATCAATGGCTCCTGTTCAGCTTAATTTTAGTTCAGTTCAGCCAGTTCTAATCAATCCACTTTCTATATTTCTTCTCTTATAAACAATTCATTTCAACTCTATTAAGTTCAGTTCAGCCCCAATCAGTTCAGTTCACTTCAGTTCCTAATCTACTTCTCTCATTAACAATTCATTTCAGCTTTATTCATTTCAGTTCAAATCAGTTCAGCCCTAATAAGTTTATTTCATTTTAGTTCATTTACTTTCAGTAAATCGAAACCAACTATCAATTATAAAGGTCATGTTTGGCAATAGTAGCGGTAGCGGGTCGCTTTTAGCGGTCGAGTAGTGGGTAGCTGTTAAGGTAGTGAGTAGCGGTTAATTAATAGTGGGTAGAGGTTAGCTGTTAAAGTAACGGTTGATCGTATGAGTGTTTGGCAAAAGTAGCGGTTGCAATATCAAAATATATCAAAATTTATACAAATATTGTTTTAAAAGTAATAAAAATCTGTCTAACGCTACCCGCTACTTCTAAACGCTACTATTTTTAACGTTTGAAAAAAAACTATCTAAGCGCTACCTCTATTGCTAACCGCTACTAAAATCGCTAACTCACCAAACAATCTCAATTTTTTTACAGTAGTGTTTTGACTGGTCAAAATGCTAGTCGCTACCTCAAATGCAGAAACGCTACCACTAAACAGGACCAAAATCAATTTATGAAAGACTCAAATTATTCTACTTTGAATTTAAAATGAACTAATATTAAATTAATGAACCCCCACTTTTTGTTAGGGTTGGCAATTCAGTCAGTCAGATTTCGGGTTATGCTTAGAAACAATAAAAAAAAAAATAAAAAAAAAAGTGTAAAACTTAATATTATTGCGAAATATGAAATTTTGGTCAAATTTAGTCGAATTCGAATTATTCGGGTTCGGATCGGGTCGAGTTTGTTCGGATTATCGAGTCAGGTCAGGGATTGTCAGCCATACTTTTTGTGCCAAATTTGTAATGATTCAAATCAATAAAATATGTAGTAACAAATACTTAAAACGGAGGAAGTATTATATTTCCCTCAAAAAAAAAATAGTAAGTAATATTTTATGACTTGACATAAATTGGATCGAAACAATCCGATCATCACTATGAGTTATATAAAATGGAAACTAAAAATATTTCAAAAAAAAATGGAAGCTAAATAATAATTATTTAAGAAGTACCTTCTTGCATTGAATTGGTGTTTATTTTCCTTATTATATTCCTTAATATAAGTGCATGCACAGACAAATCAAAGTTTAAGTAACTAATTTTAACAAAATTATCAAAATTAAAAATCAGGTGTACTGATAAATTTAGTGTCGGAAGAAAGAGAATCAGCATTAAATTTCACAAATCTCCATAAACCTAAAAAATTACCAAAATGCAACAGTCACACGTAATAAATGAAGAGCAAAATAGTAAACAAAAATCCAATGAAATAATATGAATAAATAGAAGGAAAAATTGCCCGGAATAATCCGACCTTTTGCCCGTCCGCTGAAAATAATCCCACCTTTGAATTATTTTTTAATAATCCCACCTTTATACTCATTCCGCTATAAATGGTCCCATTTTACTTGGAACCGATTGAGCAGGTATTTTTTTTTTTTTTAAAGTAGAATTTACACGTGTTGCTCCTTGATTAGTAAAAAAAATAAAAATAAAAAGTAGTAAAAAAACCACCACCGCCACCTAAGCCACCCCAATTCAGCCACCACCACCCAACCTAAACCCTAGAACCACTATCCCACCCACACCTGAAACCACCAAGCTGACCGGAATCCCACCGAGCCAAGCCAACCTAAACCCAATTACCCATTAACCCAAGTACCCAACCCCTTAACCACATTAACCATTTAACACAACCCCTCCTCTGTGGACGACGACAACGACGCGGCTGGAAACGGTGGACGGGGGAGACGCGACGCGACCAGAATCTGGGGATGGGGGAAGTCGGCGCGTCGGAGCTGGGTTTAAGGGAGTTGGTGGGTTTTTCGCGGACGGAGCCTGGGTTTAAGGGTTGGGTTTTCACGGGGGTAAGAGTGAGGGAGAGGATTGGTGGTTCATGAGAGGGGAGGGTAAGCCGGAGCCGCGTGAATGGGGTTGGCCGGTTGGGGGTTGGCTTGGTTTCGTGAGGATTCGAGGGTGGTTCATGTGGAGGTTCGTGAGGGAGGGAGGGGTTCGAGGGTGGTTCAGGGAAGGGGGTTCGATTGTGGTTCAAGGGAGGGGTGGCAGGGGAGGCCGGCGCGCCGAGATTGGTGGCAGGGGAGGCCAGCGCGCCGGATTGGTGGCAGGGGAGGTGGTTTGGGTGGTGGGTGGTTTCTAAATTAATTAATTGTTTTTTTATTTTTTTTTAATTTTATTTTTTTGACTAATTGGGTGCCGACACGTGGCTAGTAACTTGCTATAACAAGTTAACTAACCGGTTGGGACCAATAAAAAAGATCGGGGGGTAAAGGTGGGATTATTAAAAAATAATCCAAAGGTGGGGTTATTTTCAGCGGACGGGCAAAAGGTCGGATTATTGCGGGCAATTTTTCCTAAATAGAAAGTGGAAGATTTATGGTAATCTTTGAATGAATTACTAAAATACAATCGTGGGTATGTATTAAGCTCAACTATATAAATGCTTGTTATGCTTCCGATATTTTAGCCTTCAACCTCCCACTCTCAAATCTTAACCAATCTTACTTTGACCCTTTTTAAGTAAGAGATCTTCATATCAATTGCAACCAACATACACACTCTCTTCATTCCTTCTAGTTAGTTTACAATGGGGGCGATCAATTGGAGCTTTGCTTTCGTCTTGGTTTCGCTCTTCTTCTTAGGTAAATCTTTTACTCTAATCTTCTCGCTATAGAATGATATGTATGATAATGTTAATGTCTACGTCTTTAATTTGTTTGCATTACTTTATTGTACGCTTTGTGATTTGAGAATTTTATGACGACTAGTACACCTTCTTGATAGAGTCGATTGTTTCTTTTACTTTAACGTGTGTTGACTTGAAAATTTTAACACTCAATTGTATATTTTTTTGGTGTCAATTAAACTTACATTGATTTTTACTTTATAGTTACTGTTAGATTTATTTGTTGTTGCAAAAAGAGGTAATATTGTAAACATGATTCATTTCAGTATCACGCCGAAGCTTTAACCAATTAAATTAATTGACCTTCACTTTTGTGTTTAAAAGTAGTACGAGTATAATAGTGTATTGTATAGGAGTAATTTTTTAATATTTTGGGTTTAAAAAGTACAATATGCCTGTATGTGACCACCGTCCATGTTTTATTTGCATATGCAGGTGTTTCAACGAACAGGGTATCAGGGACAATTTTCACTCTCCTAAACACCTGCCCTTACACCGTCTGGCCCGGCACGTTATCGGGGAACGGACCGGCACTCCTTGGTGAGGGTAGCCTCACACTGTCACCAGGATCAACAATACAAGTTAACCCCCCAGCAGGCTGGTCAGGCCGATTCTGGGCTCGAACAGGATGCAACTTTGATGCCTCTGGTGCAGGAAACTGCTCAACCGGTGACTGCGGGGGGCTCCAATGCATTGGAGGAGGTGCCCCACCGGTATCCCTAGTAGAGTTCACCCTCAACGGGGCCGATGGACAGGACTTTTACGACGTAAGCCTAGTAGACGGATACAATGTAGGAGTTGGTGTTAAGCCTACCAGTACAGGAACAGGGAAATGTCAGTACGCAGGCTGCGTAGATGACCTTAATGCATCGTGCCCACCAGAGCTACAAGTCACGGTTGGAGGGGCCGTGGTGGCGTGTAAGAGCGCGTGTGCAGCGTTTAACACGCCGGAGTATTGCTGTACTGGTAATCATGGGAGTCCGCAGACGTGCGCGCCTACGCACTACTCGGAGATGTTTAAGAATGCGTGTCCAACGGCTTATAGTTACGCCTACGATGATGCCTCTAGCACCTGCACTTGTACTTGCTCGGACTATTTGATCACTTTCTGCCCATCAACTGTTTAACAAATTTTGTCACAAGATCGATCGATTGTCATAGATTTTTTTAGTTAAGGATTCTTAATTCGTATTATTATTGTTATTGTCTTAGTTTGTTAAATTACTGTTATGATAATTAGCCAATTAGGACTAAAATATAGGAGCTGAGTATTCTTTTTCATTGGAATTGCATAATTTTTTCAATTATTAACTTTCTGATAACTGATTTGCCTTTACCCGTATCCTTGGCTTGTTTTGAAACGATATCTATTTTTTAGGTGAATAATAATAATGTTTACACAAATTTTTAAAAAAACCGGATTTACATTAGTATATTGCGCGGCGGAGATTTATTTAACTTGCATTACTTTTTTAAGTAGTACTGTAGTATGTTATTTCCTCTCTCTTCTTATTTTCACTTCTCTTCTCTGCTCAGGCTTTTCAATTTCTCTTCTGCCATTGTTTCAATTTTCTTCCATTGATTTATTGGTTTTTTATATCTCATATAGTCCGTACTAATATTCCTTCTCTTAAGGTGAAGTGAGCTCTAACTTGAAGAAAGAGTCATCGTCGTCGCTTTGCTCGGTGAGATAGTCGGAAAAGGTAAAATCAACAATGGTTTCAATACTTTCAGCGTCGCTAGCGGTGGTTTCGGCGGCGACTTTTGATTTATTTGAGTGATTTTACTATTTTTTTCATGACTATTGTTAATTTTGTGTTTATTTTAGTTGATTTTGATACTCTGTTTTGCATATGTAGTTTAATTACTTTTGTGAAAAAATGTCACTTTTGTTAAAAAAAAAAAGGGTCACTTTTGTTAAAAAAAAGGGTCACTTTTGTGAAAAAAAAATGGTTACTTTTGTTGAAAAAAATGTCACTTTTGTAAAAAAAAAAGGGTCATTTTTGTGAATAAAGGGGTCACTTTTGTGAAAAAAAAAAGGTCACTTTTGTGAAAAAAAAAAGGGTCACTTTTGTGAATAAAAGAGGTCACTTTTGTGAAACAAAAAGGTCACTTTTGTGAAAAAAATGGTTACTTTTGTAGAAGAAAAAGGGTCACTTTTATACGAAAAAAGGGTCACTTCTCGCAAAATGTTCGATGTACAATAAAATTATTGTAAAGCGAGGGCATTTAAAAGTGATTGTAATGTTTAATCTTAAGAATACATTGTGTCTCTTCTCAAAAAAAAAAAAAAAGAATACATTGTGTCAGAAATACATGCTACGGCTGTATTCTCTTGTTCTTACCAATAAATAAATAAATAAAGAGTAAAAAAAAATAATAATAAAATAAAAATTGCTCATGTATCTATTCAAAAAAAATAAAAAAAAAATAAAATAAAATAAAATTGCTCATGTATAGTAAAAATAACAATAATTACTAAAAGTCAATTAGATTGCATTGGTAAATATCAGTTATTACTTATTACTACCTCCGTCCCCGAAAAATGACTCATTTGGCCTAATTTTAATCCCAAAAAGAATGACCCATTTGCATTAAAATCCCCACCAATTTGCAATAATATTTGTGCAAAATTAACTTCCCTATATAAAATTTGTTTCTCTATGAATTTTTATTACTTTCTCTCTCTATTTTTTTACAAATCCGTAAATTTATCTTTCTAATATACTTTTACTTCTTTTTATTTAACTTTCTTAGGGAGTACTTGTAATCAATTAATAACTTCTTTTTAGAGTATAAAACTAAAAGTTAATTTAAAATAACTACTTTTCAAATTAACACTATATCATTTGAGTTCCCTCTAGGTTTTCTCCTTGGGAGGGTTTTTTTAGTTCCCTCTATGGTTTCTCCCTTGGGAAGGTTTTCCTAGCCTCCATTGCTAGGTTTTTTCAATTCTTTTGAAGGTTTTCCTTCACTCCTCTCCCTTTTCTCTTCATCTCTACAATCTCTTTTCCTCTTGATCTCAGTTGTGAATCTTTGTAGGGGCCTCCACTGGTGTTCTTGCCGGTGGTAAGCCCCAAAAACCTTTAAATTGCTTTCAATAAACAAATCTCATCCTTGAGATGATGATTTTTCTCTTGAGTTTATTTTCTTTTTATGTTTCTATGGTAAGAGTTGAAGATCTAGGGTTTCATATTATCTACAAGAATTCGGAGGACCGCATGAATATTTTCACTCAAATGACTACGCATCCGTGGATTTCAAGCCGAATCAGTGCGAACTCACAGATTGTATTGCTTCAGATGAAGTTTTTTATAAAGGCGATTGTTAATCAATTCTACGATGTATTTAGTTTTAAGGTGTGTACTTGTGCTGGAATTCTTGATTTCTTAAGAATTATATGTAAGTGCCGTTTGGCGATATTTTATTAATGAAATCTCTTTTTCTTCTTGTCAAAAAAATAAAAAATAAAAATAACACTATATCAAATTTTATGTCTTTCGTATGCTCTATTGACAAATTAGGAGAAAGAGTGAATAGAATATGATTGAATGACTTAGATTATTATTCATCAATAGGTAGAGTATTTATACAAAAACTACGAACATAAGATAGGAAACAATATTCCTAAAACATATACCATATATCCTAATGATATATTCCCTAAATAATATCTTAACATAAGATAATACTAAATATATTATTCTCATAAAAATATCTATACGGAAAATATATCACATATATTTTCCGATACATCATATCTCTAACACCATCCCACAAAACGACAGTAACACAAACGTTGCGATTGGAAATTTTTCAATTTGTTGAAGTCGAGATCAGATGCACACTCTTGTGATGTCGCCTTCAATTTTTGTTTATTCTTTTTCAACGACGAGAACGTTCATCTTTTCGAACTCATCAGTCATCAATCAAACAGGAACATCATTCTTTTCGAACCTGCAAATATAACAATTTTTGGTTTTTTCAGAGCAAAACCGAGCTCCAATCAATATTGGTTTGTCAGAGTAAACCACACTCAAATTTCTTATTGGTCTTTCAGAGTAAACCACACTCAAATCTCTTAATGGTCTTTTAGAGTAGACCACACTTATATCTAAAGGAGCAAAATCGTGCTTGAATCAACTCACAAACCTTGTCTCACGGCACAAGGAGAACCAACATATCAAACGTACCTGTTAGGTAGCGGAAAATCCTCTTGAGTGCCAGCCAATGCTCCTTACCAGGATCAATCATGAACCTACTAATAACACCGACTGCTTGTGCAAGATCCGGCCAAGTGCAAACCATAGCATACATCAAACTCCCTATCTAAACTTATTTTTTTCTAAAATAAGGTGAACATATAACAGGGCGTGAGGGTGCATTCTATTCACCTGATTTTTACTTATTTAAACTTATTTGATCTTTTCTAAACTTATCTTAATTTATGTGATCTTATCTAAACTTATTAGCCCATATTAGAACTTATTTTACTTATAATTTGAACTTATCACAACTTATTTTTCCTAAACTTATCTTATATGAACTTATCTGAACTTATTAACCCTTATTTGAATTTTCCTCAAATAAGTGGGAACAAGGTGAACACAACAAGGCTTGAGTAAATAATGTGTTAATCACATAACACTACATAAGTAATAAGAAGTGTCTTAGCTTGAAGGAAGACTTTTAATCTCTCTCTTATACCAAATCATCATCAGCTGTTAAGAATCGCCCTTCATATAATCAAGGAAATACATCATCTCTCAAGGCATGTCTCTTAATCTCTCTCCTCTTTCTCAATCAGTCTTACATAGTTTTTTTTTTTTTTTTTTTTTTTTTTCAAATGTAAAGCAAATGGACACTGGTAAAGCCATATAAATTTGGAATGACGCATCACTTACTCTTATCAAGAAAGAGATCTCTTGTTTGAAAAGCCCCATTTGCAAACTCAAAATTAAATTAGACACTCTCATTTTTTTTATAAAAGAGCTAACTCTTATTATTTCTGTATTCTTAAGAAACCCATCAATAACCCTCATTATTGATGCTCTTATGCTCTAAGGGCATTGATAGCGAAGCTGCGAAGAGAGTATCTAAAATGGGGGTTCTTAATCTCTCTCCTATGCCACATCGTCAACAACTTCTACTAAAATTCACCCTCAAATAGACTATCGCTAATGGTGAAACTAATTGGGGTTTTTTTAGGAGAGAGTATTTTTTTGTAAAGGTTACCAATAAGTTTAAACTTGGATATAAAAAAAAAGTTGTTAAGCTTAAATACCCAATTTTGAGTCTCAATTGACAAAAAAGTGGACCCTTATCAATTTTATATTGGTTTATTTAATTTATTGAACTTTTAATGTTTTTCTAAAAACTTAAAATTGTTTATTTAATTGGATGCAGTGGACCATATTGGAAAATGACATTAGTATACTTAAGAGAGTCACCATTGAAAAATTATATACTCCTCCGTTTTTTTTTAAATGCATCACTTTGATGTTTGCACTATTAATAAACTGTGGTTGACTTAATTTTTTCACCTCTATATAATAAATAAATATTATTATATAACATATCATTAGATTCATCATAATGTCTTGTTTCATAATATAATTTTGTTATAATTTTTACTAATTAACAATTCAAAATATTGATGTTCAAAGTTGCGTCTCGGCAAATATGTCAGTCAAACTGATGCAAATAATAATAATAATAATAATAATAATAATAATAATAATAATAATAATAATAATAATAATAATAATAATAATAATAATAATAATAATAATAATAATAATAATAATAATAAAAGAGAGAGTATCATATAAGTTGCTAAATTGAGAAGTAGGTTGGGTATCAAAATCAGTGTGAAAAACAACTGATTATGCATTTCAATACTCAAAGTTGAGGACCTGTTCTTTTGAGCTTAATTTCAATTCAATTCTATTCAGTTCAGTTTAGCTCCAATCAATTAAGTTCAATTTAGTTCCGAATTTCCTTCTCTCATAAAATATTCAGTTCAGTTCAGTTCAGTAAATCAGAACAGGTCCCGAGTCTTACAATTAGAGAATAGATATCGTTTAACCAAAGAAAAGCACTAGCTCAGCACCTACTAAGAGTTACTTTTGTAGATTTTGTACAATTTTTAATTTTTTTATAAATACAATTCAATCACATGCAAAATGCAGTAATAGTAGTACTAGTTTACGTCATTTTGTGTCTTTTTTCATATTCCAGGTACAGTAATAATTG